AGCCCGGCCCCAGCACCTCACAGCCTCGCGTCCTCTCCCGTAGCAGACAGGCGAAGCAGCACAGACAGCCAGCCAGACGCTGCACCCCTCCGACCCCACAGAGAAGCAGCAGCCCAAGCGGTTACACGTCTCCAACATCCCCTTTCGGTTCAGGGACCCCGACCTGCGGCAAATGTTCGGGGTGAGTGAGCCTGGCCCCAGGCCCTAGCCCGGCACCTGGGGGTCTGCCTTCCTGTCCACCAGGCTTCCTGTCCCCACCGGGCCAGCAGAGCCCCAGAGCCCCTCCCTCCTGAGCCAGGGCTCCGGCCTGGCTGGGAGGGGGTAGGAGGGAGGGTTCCAGCTCCAATGAACCACCAGCCTGTGCCTCCTGCCCGCCGCCACCCCGCACCACCTGCCCGTAGGGGCTCCGTACCCAGCGCAAGCTGGGTTATTATTCTCCTGGTCTGGTCTTCTGACAAAGACGGACCCCTGAGCCCCTCTCGGGGGGCACCCCAGCCTCCTAGACTCCTCCAGGGCTGCAGCCCCACTCCACCCCTCCTGGGTGCCCAGCACCGGCCCCTGGGGTGGGGGCCCACACCCAATGCGGCAGTGAAGGGGCACAGTTGGGTAGGGGGATCCCTAGATTAAGACCAGACGTGGCCACGTTCATGTCAGGACTCCAGGGCCTGACTTCCGTCCCCAGTGCTGACCCCCAGTCCAGGGTATGGAGAAGTGAATGGTAACCAAGGACTGAACCCCGGCACCCAGTCCACTAACTCTCTCCCTGTCTGGTGCCCACACACTGGACGGCCCCAGCTCCAGGGCCCTCCCTCACTGCCCCCTGCTGGGAGCCTCAGGCAGCAGGATGGACATCCTGAACCCACGCCCGAGACGGGCCCCAGGCGGCACCCCCTCCTGGGGGCCGGCAGCCCTTGCTCTGGGGCTTAGTCCGCCTGCCCGGGAGATGATAGGCGCCTTGCAGTCTGAAGACAGGAGCTCCCTCGAGGTGTTGGCCCGGGCGTGCCAGGGCCCCTTCCAGCAGCTGGCGCTGGGGCCTGCTGGCTAAGCCTTCCATGTGCACTCAGGAGGCCAGTCCCTCGGTGGGGGCGGGCCTGCCCCACTTGCCCAGTCAGCAGCGGAGGTGGGGTTGAGCTTGTGGGGTGTCGCACTCACACCCCTGCCTGCCAGACAACCCTATCAGTTACAGGCAGCCCCAGGACCAGCCAGGGGCCCTCACGTGCACAGGCCAGACCAGGGCACAGGTGCACGGCACGAGGGCCTGGAGGGTCAGGGGGACCACGCAGGTCCCGGGGTGGCACGGGGCTTGGGGCCAGGTCGCGGCCACCTGCACCCACATGGCCGCAGCCCAAACTGCGGAGGCAGCGTGGGTCCCGAGGCTTGGAGCACAGGGCCTCCCCCGGACCCCCCTGCCTTCCCCTCCCCCTCCTGCTCCCCAGGAGGCCTGAGGTTCTCCCTTTCCCAGCCTGAGGTCCTGGCTACGGTGACCCCACCCCACTTTAGCCTTTCCTTTTCATCCTCTTCCCCCACCCAGCCCCCCACCCTTAGAGAGGGCCTGTCCCTGGACGCATGGTGTCAGGAGTCATGGGCTGCTGGGGGCTCAGCGGGGAGGGAGAGGGGACCTTGGTGACACCCAGCCCTCCACACCCCCACCTGCAGCCCCGCCTGTAGATGGGGCCGTGCCCTGGTGAGGCGCTCCCTGATGGCCAGGGTGAGTGAGGAGGGTGTCCCCCACTGCCCGACACCCCCGTGCTGCACCAAGAGCCCCTGCTTCTACCTGGCTCAAGGCCTC